TAGAGCTTCGAGCTGCCGGGCAGCACGCAAACACACGACGGTGTTTTGTTTGTAGAGACACCCGTCACCTTCGGAACGGTTGCCCCCTGCGCAAGGGGCGTCAAGGTTCTTCGAGCCATCACCCCAATATCTACCAGTCTGGTTCGTAGCGGGGAAACGACACCACCCAGTAGGCGCGGGGCGACCTACTGGGGAAGAACTGTTTTTTTTTAGCCTCAGGGAGGCATAAGTCAGCAAGACCCAGCCCCGAAGAGCTCCGTGCTCTTGAACACGGAACTTGTATGCAAGCCGGGCTTGCTGGTTGTGGAGGCGACCGTAAAGGGCTTCGAGAAGCCATGGAAGATCCTCATCGATTCCGGAACGTCGGGCAATTATTCTCGATGCTCCACGATGGAAGGAAGTCAACTGTATGCTGAGGCGCTAGAAACGCGGTTGGGTGACATCGTCACTGTTCGCCTAGCGACGGGGACACGTGTCACGGTCCCGAAGGTCCCTGTGAATCTCGGAGTCACGTTCCTTGACTATGATAACGTGGAACGCTGTCTACTCTTAGACTTGGATGCAAGGTATGACCTAATCCTAGGAATGGCATGGTTGAAACACCCTGAGCCATGGGTTGATTGGAGTCAAAGACCTTGGGCGCTACGTGCACGTCTCCTGGTGGAGCTCTGGCGAGTCATGAACCCACCACTGCTAGGAGACCAAAGCGCTATTGGCGAGAGCACTGGACCGAGACGAATAACATGCTGGACATTGGAATATCTGAGTTGGTAGACATCAACGGTGTATTGGACAGGAGTCCCGAGCGTGGCTCGCGGGCGGATCGTGGAGTGGCACATAACCCACTGAGCGCTGCTCAAGTTTTGGAGCAGTCGCTGCATGTCGTGCGTGACATGGTCGGCCAAGGGCTGAGGCATCGAGGGCGAGGCCTACTTGATGCACGGAAGTGGCACGTAAACCACTGAGCGGCGGTGAATGTGTTATTGAATGCCGAGTTCAGTTTCAAGTCGGCACGACTTGGT